AGGCTACTGCATAGAAATACTTCCTGTGGACGAGATCTCATCTCAGCTGCTTTACAAACACGGTTTTGCTTCATCCTTATAACATCCCTCTCATTTATCCTGATTTGACAGATGAGGAAACTGAGGCTCAGAGGGGAAGCCACTGGCACGAGGTCACAGGCTGGGTTCGAACCCATCTGCCTGATCCTAATGTCTGTTTAAAACCAGGAAGCTTGGTTGTCCTTCAAATGTCCTTCAAGGAAATTACATTGCTTTGAAAATCAGGGGGAAAAAAACAAACAAACCAAACGAGAAATATTACATTTTTTAAACCACTTCTTCGAGCTCCGTGGGGCCTGAGACCAGCGGGGTTTGGGGAGGGCTTCTCAGCAGGGTGCTGTTTGTGTTCTGGGTGGGGCTCCCCTGCCTGGCCAGCCACCCTGGGCGTGCCCCTGACCGCTAAGGCCAGCTGTGCTCCCCTGTCTTTGTGCCGTGCAGACCCCTATCCAACCTCTGCCCCGGCCCTTGATGAGGTCTGCCGGCTCAGGGTGACACGGAGCACCTGTCGTGGGCCCGGCCCCCTGCTGTGCTGCCAGCCAAGCCACTCTGTGGGCTGACCCTCCTCGGCTTCTGACAGGCTCAGAGAGGCTGGTGATTTGCAGAGGCCACACAGCCAGGACCACCCTCAGCCCCTTGCTGCACTGTCTACCTTCATGTTAAGTGACCGTGGTCCTGGAGTCAAAGCTGGGACAGGACAGAGGTGAGTGGCCTGCAGCTCCAGGCTAACAGCGAGGCAGCCACCAAGCACCCACTCAGGCAGGCAGGGCAGGGGCGGCAGGCGGCGGCACTGGCGTGGGGACCGGGAAGCTGAGCACTCCCTCCGGCCCAGCTGAGGTCCGTGGCCGCCCGCCAGGCCCCGCCTGACGTCAGGTCTGACCAGGGACATAATGTGCTGGCGGCGGGACGAGGGCTGGTGCAGCGCCAGGGCCGCCAGGCAGGCGGTTAGAGGGAGACGGGGCGGGTGGAGGAAGGGAGGGAGACCGACCGGGAACAGGCAGAGGGAGCCTCGCAGAGAGGAGAGACGAGGGTGGGAAAGAAGGAAGGAAGCAGATGGCGAGAGGAGGAGGCAGAGGGAGGGAGAGATGGAGAGAGACCGGCACAAGGGGAAGAAGTTCAGAGAGAGAGGGTGAAAGGGACCAGACCACAGAGAGTAGAGGTGGGGGTAGGGGGCAGGGGGCGTGGGCTTAAGAGGCCCCAGACAGGGCAGGGGTCCGGCGGTGCTGCTATGAGCAGGTATCCCACGTCCGGGAGCCTCTGACCCGTCCCTGGACAATGGGCTCGTGGGAACAGGGCTTAGCTTATTCGGAGGGACAGAGCCCCCCACAGGGTGGGTGTGGTGCTGGCGGGGGCGGGGCAGCCCATGTGAAGTGCCGTGCAGAGCCCTGTATGTAGTAAGTGCTCAATACACTGGAATGAACCTAAGGGAGCCGGGGGCGAGGTGGTGGCACGGCAGTAAAACGCGACACTCCGTCAGGTTGACCCACGTGGGAAGATTGCCAGTTCAAGTCCAGAGACCTCCCTGAGTGCGCTGGGTCCACGTGTGTCCGTGGTCCAGGCCGGCTGGGGATGATGTATTTCTCTCTCTGTGGAATAAATGCATGTTTTGGCAGGATTCAAACCCTGTAAACGTAGGCTGGAACCTCAGCTCAAGTGCAAAAGAAAAAAACAATTAAAAGGGGTAGTGAAGAGCGAGCTGGGGTGGTGGGGTGCAGGAGCCAGAAGCATCCCGTGGAAGGCACCTGCCACCCCACGCACCTGCTCCCCTGCGGCCGCGGAGCACCCTCTCCGCCTCTGCACGACTGAGCGCAAGGCCACCAGCGCGGGCCTTGGCCTGGCCTTGCTGGTCTTGGGGCCCAGCCCCCTGTTTATGGGCTCCAGAAGGTCGTGATCTCAGGGCCATCACGTCACCAAAGCCCAGCAAGGCCAGGCCCTGGTCACTGCTGGCCTTCCAGCCTCCTCGCTTCTCCTCCAGCTTAATTATTAAGTGGCCTGGCAGGGCCGAGGGACTGAGCTGCTGTCCTCCTGGGTGGGTGCAGTATGCCCTCGTGTCTTCCATTAATGCAGGGCACGTGCTTCAGGGACCCATCCTGCCAAACATGCATTTGGCATTTATTCCACAGAGAGAGAAATGCATCATCCCCAGCCGGCCTGGACCACGGACACACGTGGACCCAGCGCACTCAGGGAGGTCTCTCCCAGGTGGCACTTGGAGAGGTCAGGATGCAGAGGTCCCTCTCCCTCGGTCCCACTTTTCCCAGAGCCTTTCTCAGCTTCATCTTCACCCTTGGAATCCCTATTTACTGAGCACTTACTGTGAGCCTGGCACGGCCCTAGACACTTCTCGAACTCACTCAGGGTGCCCAGGGGATCAGGGGCTAATGCTGTCCCATTCCACAGGTGCCCGAGGCCACCACTGAGGACTGGCAGGGGCAGCCGCTCAGGTAAACTGGGCCAGCCGCTCAGGTAACCTGCACCAACTACCACTTTCTGAGCAACTCACGCCCAGACTGCCTGCTCCGAAGCGTCCCCTTCAGCCTCTGGGATGACCCCCGAGGCAGCAGTTCTCAGCCCAGGCTATCACGGGGCATTTGGGGTGGCTGCAGCTGGGGAGATGCTGGCTTCTGTGGGCGAGGCGTGGTGCTGCTCAGCCCCGCAAAGCCCAGGTCAGCCCCGCAGCCTAGGAGCACCCAACCCCAAGGTCAATAGCACCCAGGCGGGTGCTGCTACGAGGCGAGTTCTGTGGGGATCTCTGTTTACAGAGAGGGTGACACTCGGCCAGGAGGCCCACTCAATGCCCCGCTCTTCACCAAGGACAAGACTGTCACTCTTGGCAGCTCCAGAGCTGAAGCGGCCCCGGCCTCCCCTCCAGGCCCTCTAAGTCCTTGCTCACTCAGTGTAGACGTGCTTCTCCACCTTCTCCTTGTGACCACAGAGCCTCAGCCACGGACGGAGCAGAGGGGCCTCAGCCATGGATGGAGAAACGGGATGGAGCAGAGGGGCCTCAGCCACGGACAGAGACGGGACGGAGAGGCAGGACAGAGTGGAGGGGCCTCAGCCGTGGACGGAGAGACGGGATGGAGCAGTTGCTGGGGCGTGGGACAGTGTAAGTGAGCTCCTCCTGTCTCCACAGCAGCATCAGGGCCCCGCTGCAATCCCTTCTCTTCCGTTCTTCTCCCAGGATCTAGTGCACGCACACACAGGCACCCGGAATGAGTTTTAAGCCACCGGGTCTGGGACTCGAACTACTGTCAGCCATGTGAGAGTCCAGCGATGTAACTGCTACACCATCTGCTGGTCCCCAAATCGCGTTGTTTTAAGCCATTAAGTCTGTGGCTTTGTTTCAGCAGCAGGGCTCCTGGAGTTGGTGTGGGGCGGGCAGACTGCGGGAGGGCGAGGTGGGAGCAGGGGCCAGGCAGGAGGGAGTGGTGGGCCGAGAGAAGCCGTGTCTCAGTCATCCCCGGCCAGGTCCCCGAGACAGAACTGGCCACCCCGCAGTTCCGCCATGTGCGGTGACTCTGCCAGAGGAGGCCCAGGAGGAGTGCCGGGGAATAGACCTCGCTCCTCAGGACCGGCTTCCGACCCCCATCTCCAGGGCTGCACCCCTGACTCCAGCCCTCCGCCACCCCGCTCTGGCTGCCATCGGTGTCTTGCTGTCCCCCCAGCCATGCCTGAGTCTGCTCTTTCACACCCGGCCCAGGAGAGGAAGGACTTGGCCATCCTGCCACTGACGGCCCGGAGCGAAGAGGCGAACGAGTGAGGAGCCAGTGGGCTCCCACTGTCCTGCCAGGACCCGAAGGGAAGAGATGCCGAGGGGAGTGACGGGCTCAAGGCCACACGGCTGCTAGCTGTGGGCGCAGGGTTTGAGCCCAGAACTGACTCCAAAGTCGGCACGAAGGAGGCCACCCTCTCCTCACACGGACGACACCACCAGCCCGGCAGTGTCCCCGCTGTGACGGCACCACGCTATCCATCTTGGGGGTCAGACATTCTAAACAGCACTTCAGGGACCCCGCCGGACAGCTGCCCAGGGGTGTCACCACACGAGGAACTGAGGCTCAGAGAGGTTGGCGTCTCCCTCAGGGGCAAGGCTGGCCAGAGCCGAGAGCTGGGATGTGACCATTTTCCAGCATCCTCTGGGCACCGCAGAATTCAGAGAAACCATCTCATCCGGAGAGGCAGAGCTTCTGAGAAATGAGGGCTGGGGTTTGGTTCTGGGGCTCGGGGGCCAAACTCCAGCTGCCACTTCCCTGCTGTGTGACCTCAAGCAAGTGGCCTCCCCTCTCTGGCCGAAGGCTCTTCTGACAACTGCAGATTCTGGACGGACTGATGAAGGCATGGAAACTACATTGGAAATAGAAGGAGCCAGCTTATTTCCTAGCTGACATGTTACACCAGCTTACACTGCTCGGGGCATCCAAATATCATCCTAATTAAACCTAATAAACTTCATTTGAAGAAAAAATCAATAAACAAGAGAGGAGTTTATTTTTCTCTTGTGCAAATGAAGCCCAGATGTAGGCAGCTTGGGGCGGTTTTGGCAACTCCATGAAGCCCTCGGTGTCTCGAGCTTCTTCCTGGACACTGCTCTGCTGTCCCTACAGAGCAGCCCTTCTTCTCATGGTCCAAAATGGAAGCCACTGCTCCAGCCTTCACGCCTGCCTTCCAGCTGGCAGGATGGAGAAGGAAGGATGACAGGTAAAGGGCAGACACCAACTCAGTCTCCAGAGAGGATTCCAGACATTGCCACCCTCTCACTGCCTCTCTCTGTCTCTCTGGCGAGCACACACACCCTATGGCAAAAAAAAACTTAGGAAAAACAATAAAAGAAAGGCAATTTCCAAACCCCACCTGCTGAGCCCAGTGCAGCCAGGCGGCAGAGGGAACTGGGACCTCTGGACGCTCCCGGGTGCTGGGTTCCCACCAGGTCAGGTTGTTACACGGCCTTCTCAGTAAGCTGGACAAAACTCCATCCTTCATGCCGCTGGAAAGCAGACGAGGAACCCACCGCTGCGCAGCACTTACCTGGCAGAGAAGAGGGTCGAACCCAGATGGGGCCGCGTTTCCTAGCCCCAGCACACTCCAGGCCCCACGGCTGCCTCCACGCTGTCTCTCCTCCGCTCTGCTCCCTGAAGTAGTCATAGCCTCGCCCTTCCAAAGCCAGACAGCCAGGACTTCCCTGCAGCTGCCCGAACCTGCAGAGGCGCTTCCTGCAGCCCACGGTTATGAGAGTCACACACACTCAGATCTCTACGTCTGTGAAGTGCTGTCAGATTTGATTGCGCTCCAACAACAACAACCAAAAAAAAAAAAAAAAAAGGTACCAGCAGTTGGCGTAAATGGCTATGTCACTGACTTCCCATGTGGTCGACCGCAGTTCGCATCCCGGGCCCGGTGGCTTAAACTCACGCCAGGCGCATGTGCGTGTGTGCCCAAGATCCCAAGAGGAGAATGGAGGAGAAGGGATTGTGGTGTGGCCATCCCGTCTAGGGGGTGATTTCTCACTTTCTGTCTTTCTGTCTCTCTGTCTCTCTGTCTTTCTGGCGAGTGCACGCACCCTATAGCAAAAACCTGTTTAAAAAAACCCCGAACAAACAGGATTTGACTGCACTAGGCCCCACTCCTGCCTAGTAATGATCAACCAGGGCAGGGTTCTGGAGGGCCTCTCCAGCTCCCCTCACTCCCCATCTCTCCCTCCTGCCTCCCTGGCCCTCAGGTTGAACGTCAGGTGCCGTTTATCACGCACACAGTGAGCTGCTGTGCTGAGAGCAGGGATGCATTTCTCTGTGTTCAGATCTCTATCAAAAAGAGGAAAATAAGGACCAGAAGGTGGTGTGGAGGTTAAAGCACTGGATTTCACATGGCCAACGGCGCAGTTTGAGTCCTGGACCCGGCAGTTTGAAAATCATGCCAGGTGCGTATGTGTGCGTGCCCCAAATCCTGAGGGGTTCTAGAGGAGAAGGGACTGTGACGTGGCCCCCCCCTCCTTACTTTCCCTCTCTCTTCTCCCTGTCTCTGGCGAACACGCGTGCCCTATAGCAAAAACTGGGGGGAGGGGGTAAGATAAAAGGAAAACAACCCAAGAGGGGTTCGAAAATGGAGAACGGGAGAAGGCACACCTGGCACTCAGGATGCTCCTGGTGTTTATGATCAGGGGTGCTCCTGCTGCGCCGCTTGCCGCTGCTAAGGTCTCCTAACAGGACTGCTCCGTGACAAATGCAGGGCAGGCTGGCAGTCGCGCCATCCGAATCTCAGATCGCACCCAGCGGCTTTCTCCAGTGCGAGTGCGGTCTGAAATATTTGCGGCGTACTGAACTACAGCGTTTTCTGTCTATCTGAAATTCTAGCATAGCTGGGCGTCCTCTGTTTTGCCTGGTACCCCTCCTGGGGACAGTGGGGTGAGAGCGGGTCTCTACGGGGCTTGCATTTGGGGCCAGGGGACTCTCCTCCTGGTAGGCTGATGTCGGGCAATCATTTAAGGGCTCTGGTGGGAGATGTGCCGAGACTTGTTCCCAGCCAGAACACCCCCTGACCTGTAAAACTGGGGCCCAGAGAGGGTAGGCGACTTTGCCAGGCCCACTCTGCCGGCTGCCGGAAGAGCCTGGACCAGAACCCCAGGTGAAGGTGAAGATCCCTGGTGCGTCCTCGGAGGGCCTTTCCTGTGCTCTGGGTCTCAGGTTCCTTGATGTGTGTGTGTGTGTGTGTGTGTGTGTGTGTGTGTGTGTGTATTTTTTGAGAGGTTTTTGCTATAGGGCGCGTGCACTTGCCAGAAAGACAGAGAAAGACAGAGAGACAGAAAAATCACCCCCCGGGGGGATGGTCACACCACAATCCCTTCTCCTTCATTCTCCTCTTGGGATCTTGGGCATGCACGCACACGCGCCCGGAGTGAGTTTAAGCCACTGGGTCCGAGACGCGAACTGTGGTCAACTGCATCGGAATCCAGTGACATAGCCATTATGCCAACTGCTGGTCCCAAGGTTCCTTGATATTTGAACTCGTGTCACTTAACCATGGTGGATGCTCCGTGGGCAGGGCCTGTCATATGGTGGTGTGGATGCTCTGTGGGCAGGGCCTGTCATATGGTGGGGTGCCGAGATGGGCAGCCCCAATGTTTGTATGGCTGACAGGGGTTTTCCCTTTTGACTTGGGTCAGATGCACTTCCTGAGACAGGAAAGCCTGTCCCTGGTGTCTGGTTTGGGAGGGGCTGGGGTCTCACTGCCTGGGAAGTACATTTGCACTGGGCGTCCCTGTTTTCTGTGGAACTCCCCCTTAAGGCCAGAGGCTCCCTGGTTCAGCCACTTCACCTCAAACTCTTCTATGGGGGTAGGGGGTGGGGAAGGGGTCCGGGACTTTCACCCCACCCCTCGGTGTCAGCACCCCTGCTAGTCCCAGCAGTGCCAAGTGCCCTATGGTACATAGCCCTAGCCGGTACTGTAACACGGCCTCCCTTCTCAGAGCACACGTTGATCAGAGACCTCCACAACCTAAGGACACCTGACCCTTGTGCACTGTCTTTTTTTAAAGTTTGTTTATTTCACAGTCAAGAAAGTTCGAGGGCAGCACCCCCAGCAGGTCCTGACACCACAGTGTACCCCAGCTTCCTGGGGCGTGGGCGTGCATGGGACCAGCGTACTCAGGGAGGTCTCCGGACATGAACCTAGGACCTTCCAGCCAGCTCAGCCTCACAGAGCGTCG